AGATCAGAACATGTAATTGATTATCCAGTTTATTATGTTTGTACTTTATAACTCAATTAACTCCCGTGTCAACAACAAGTTAATCAGAAGATAAAGATGGACTGTGAGAATTAAGCACAAGATTCTGATGTCTTGCTTGAAGTTTAAAAGAATTGTCTATGCTGAGACTTAACCCGTCTACAAACAAGGAAGTGTTTCTACAAGGCATTCAACCATGGCATTAATGGTCCATTCTTTGAATAAAGTGCAATAATGGTGGAGATTGAAAGGTTGTCATGAAGAGCTAGTCGGGGTGCTTGCCTTGAACAAACGGGTCTTTCCATGCAGGAGTCATCCAAATCATAGAAGGAGCCCTTGGTTATACAAAGTACCTTAGTTTTGCTAGATGCATTCTATCATCCAATGAAGCAAGTGGAATATAAAGCATTAAAGCATAAAGGAACTGCACAAACATAACTTCTGGGTAATCTTTACATATTCATCATCTCTTACTAAAAAGTGAATGAGAAACTACTCACTCTTCATGGCTTTGGTAAAGCTATAAGAGTGAATGATACTCATCCTTCCAAGTAGAGAAGCTACTAAGTGAAACAAAATAAACAAAGAGCTTATCTTCAATGAAGAATAAGTGAATCACATTCCACCCTTCACGGCTTTAGTAAAGTTCTAGAAAAGTGGAAAAGTTTCACTCTTCTAAGAAAGAAGGATGCTCAAGCAATGGAAGTGAAATACATAAACAATAAAAGTAGAAGAAAGCTAGTTACTCTTGGAGTGTGGTTTCTTCAACCAAAAGATGGAGGGTTGCTTCCTCAACCAACAAGTGAAGGGTTGCTTCCTCAACCAACAATTGAAGGGTTGCTTCCTCAACCAACAAATAGAGGGTTACTTCCTCAACCAAAAGATGTAAGACAAGCAAATATAACAAACATCTATGATTAATCAAAATGAGTGGGAGTCAAAGCCTCCATACAAGCTCCATACTAGTTCTTGGTGTAGTCTAAGCCTACAAACCAAGCTCCAACTTCCTATTTTACAAGAGAAAAATTGCACACTTGAAGCTCCCTTAATGGGGGTATTTATAGGCAAGGAAGGGGAGGGGGGAAGATAGGAGAGGATGAATTAATAGTGGATGTCGCCCAAGTCCAAGTGAAAGACCAACTACTCTACAGGCAGTCAGTAGAGAATGTTCGAACGTTGTCTATGTTTTTGCAGTATGGACGTTCGAATGGTGTCTGTCGTTCAAACGTGTCTTTTATTTTTGCTTTATGGGCGTTCAAACGCCATATAGAGTTTGACCATATCACTCAAGTGGTCTGTGGTCCTCTGAGGAAACCCACTTCCATACTTCATGCAGGACTTGGCATTTTTCACTCATTACCCAGATCTTCAATGGACGTTCGAACGTGATTAGCATTCAAACATGGTACTCAAGTGCACTTCCTTCCTTGCTGCAACACGCCATGTCTTCACAGTCTGGTCTTGTCTTTGTTCTAGTGGACATTCGAACGTGAGTTGGCATTCGAACATTCCTGCTTTGTTCCAAGTTTCTCCAATTTTGTTCCCTAATGCGCTGGTGTTACATTCAAGTGTGATTTTTGTTGCCTTTGCACCCTTTTACACTTTAGAACTTGAAATGTCATCATTTAAACACCATCAAAGTATAATTAGTCCAAAAAAGGCAAAATAATATGCTACATTTACGTAGTAATAAGCCACCATATGTAGTGTACATGCCATAATCGTTCAAATTCACCTCACATTTTGTGCACCTGCCTTCGTTGCGAGCCCACAACACCTGATTAGCCATGCCTAGCCATGTCCAGCCCATGGCTTGGTCTTCCAAGCTAGCATTGCCCCATAAATTAAGCCACCCAACTAGCCTTGGCTTGCATGCTTGCTTGTGCCCACGTGCCCATGCACCGAGCCATGCATGGGCTTCAATCAACTCGCTAATTGTGCCCATGCATGAGCTGCCATCCTCAGCCACGCATAGGTCTTAAATAACCCACTAGTTATGTCCAATGTGCCCATGGATGCACTGCCTCCCTCAGTAATGCATGGGGTTTTTGCCAAGGATGAGTCCTTCTGATCATCAACCCCGTATCTCGAGTCTTGAACTTTGGAATGCCTTGCCTCTACTCATGGCAAGCATTCGTTGGGGACGTGCCTTATATGCCAAGGCTTAGGGACCCCTAGGGAAGCTGGTCTGGCACCCCTTCGCGGAGCACCTCCCAATAATAGCGTTATGAAGCAAAAACGCAGTGACAACACTGGATGTACTCTAAGCCGAGGAGTCATAATATCCTAAGCTTGGGGCATAGTCACTGCATGCTAATCAAGTCTTTTTCCAAACCATTTTATCCCAACAAAATAAAAGTCCAAGTAGTTTAGGTAGTATCTTTTGCACCAAGGGTTTGTTTCTTTAAGCAAAACCCAATTTGGCTATGGCATGGGCACCTTTGGGCAAGGCTACCTCATGCCAACATCAAGCCAAAAGCTAAGGGGGTAACACTCTACCTCTAGGGACTCCTTCCCTAGAGGTCTCTTTGGTCTCATCAACTGTTTATTATCCGAAGCACTAGCACCCTTATCTAAACATATGCAAGTGATCAGACAACCAAAAGGTAGAGTGTCAATAATCCTCCCTTCATCAAATGTTCTCCAAATGACTCAAAATATCACTCGTGGCAAGTCTATCTCCAAACTTGTACTAATAGAATGTAGCAAATAAGCTCATGGTGTGGGAAAAATGAAAAAATGAGTCTTCAGGTCAATGTTGTAGTTGACTACCAGATTTATATAATTATAATCCCTAGTCAATTTCTTGTGATACCATAACTGGTGGTTCCACCCATCGGGATAAGGAAGACTATACAACAAAGACGGAACTGTCGACAATGTGGAGCACTCTCAAGTCGAAAATGAAAAAGGTCTCGAGCTATCTAGGAAAGATGTAGGATGGTGGCAATAAGGTCAGTGGAAAACTCAAATAACACACCTCGGACGTAAGTTATGAAGTGTTCACTATCCTCTATAATGTCACGAATGTGCATGTAAAACTCTCTGACCATATCCACATTTGTAGGCAATGGGGCTCCAAATGGCTCAATCCACCATCTTGAGTCAAATAACAAAGGGACATGAGTGTCACTTACCCCCATCGTGGTTGAATCCAAGCTCTATGAGCACAGTCCACAATGAAAATTGTCTCTGATACAACTTTCGGTACTGCAGTGTCTAAAAGTGAGCAATACTACCTGAACCTTGTACCCTTGCCTTCTTCTCAGCTCGTGGAGGCATTTTTCCAAAACAAATTGGTGAAATAGTGTAAATTTGTATGATAATCTCATATCTAAAGTAACATTAAATCTCACTCCAAATGAAGTTTAGTCACTTAGGTGGGGTAGAAAGTTTGTGGAATTTAGCTTGGAATTGGAGGAAATGAAGGCCTTCCATCAAAATTTGGTCTTTTAAGCTTACAGTACCGAATCCTAACGCAGACTGCTAGGGCAACATCTAGGGCCACTCAAGTGAGGTCTAAAGCAGAGTACCTCTATTTTTCTGCAGTTTAATCCACTTCAACTCATCTTGGATCAGTCTTAACATACATACATGATGTAAATTAAGCCTAAATACTATTCAATGCAATACATGGATGAAATTGGACAAAATTAAATGCAATTCTCAATTTAATCAATAAATGTTCAAAGCAAATAATCATGAAAATTACACAAATTTGCATTTTAAAAACTCCATCAAAAATTCGTCATTCCAATACACTACTCTAAGGCATATTCAAAGATTTTAAACTCAATTGCAAGCATCCTAGAGTAATGTTTTTGCATTTTGGTTCAATTTCACTCATGTATTTAAATTTTGTTCAACTTTGACTAATTCAAGTGCAACAGGTGAAACCAACCTCTAACAAAAAAAGGATTTTGATTAGTTTGACGCATTAATAAACTCATCATTAAATCCTAAATGGATTGTCTAAGTGAATACATGACTGGTTAGTGAGTGTCCTAAATATTTTTCTTTTTGAGAATTCCCCCTCTCTTTTATCCCTTCTTCTATATGACTTCAATTAACACGATTGTGAATTATGTACATTAATGTATGCTTCTAAATAAGATAAACATGAGCTCTATGAGCTTTATAAGTAAGCAATTGAAAGTTAAGCATAAGTACTCTCATAATGCAAGTGCAATTATTTTTAGCCATCTATTTTCCTCACCTTTTTAGATTTGGTCACATTAGGCTCTTTTCTCACAAGCCTTCAGTATCTTTTAAGAGATTGGGATTTAACTAACCTTTATCCATGTGTTCACCTATCACTAACACTTAGACTCATTCAAGATTATCAGTAATTCAAACTAATCAGACTCCTAAGTGTGAAGGTGAATGGATGTGTGTACTTGGTTTTGAATATTTCAAAGGTAAGCACTATCCAATCATGCTAGGATGAAAGAGACTTTGGCTAATGAATCATGCAATTAGATTTATGTCACTAAGTTCTCTATCTCCTACAATGACTCATAGCAATGCACATTTCAACTTTGACTTAAGGATGAAACAATTTCAAAGCAAATCAAAGTGTGAATTACCATGATTATGAACAAATAAAAAAAAGAAAATATTTTTGCCTTTTTCTTTTTCAAATTTTTTTGAAATTTTCAAGATAAACATATACAAAAAAAATATGCATAAAGATGCAATCAAAACAAATAAAACAAATAGAGCATTTTGCCATAAATCCTAAAAATGAATGCAAAAAAGGGAATCAAAACTATTTTTGGATTTTTAGTATTTCTTTTGTGTTTGGCTTTTTAAATTTTTAATGTTTTTGTATTTTCATATAACAACAAAAAAAAACACACATATATGACCTAGGATGTTTGATGAAACACATGCAAGATCACCTAGGTCCATACTCTCACATCTCCTACTTCTTAGGAGTCATGACCTTGCTATAAGCACTCGGAGCCTCTAACTTGGTTAAGATGGTGAGTTTCTCAAGGTCCACATTGGTCACCCAAACTTTTTTTGCCCTCCTAAAACTTAGATTAGGTCAGAAAATGGGTGGATGACTAGCTCTCTTCTCCCCGGATATGTCTAGATTAATCTTGACCTTGGGGGTAAAAGAAGCTTGGGGCATTCTAACACGTGGTCCATATGAAGGTGATGCATGACTATGCTTGAACTCACAAGATTGAAAATTTAGAGCTTTGGATTGAATTGCTAGATACACAAGTTTCTTGTTCAAGACATCCTTATTTTTCATGCAATGTCAACTATGATGACCATGTTTTCCACAAGTGTAGCACAAATCATGATTGGTTTGGGACGACACCAAGCATAGAGGGTGGCAAAGGCAGTGCCAATCTTCATTCGAGCGATGGAGGTGAGCTGGGTGGTGATGCCAAACATGGGAATACAGTAGCCGACGCCAGGCATGTTGGCGACGGTGCCATTCGTATAGTAGGCAACTTTAGATGCATAGGAGTAGGCAATGCCAGGCGTGCAACAAACAACACCAAGCAAGGCAGAAGCAGAGGCAGTGCCCTTAGCAGAGACTGGGCAGGCGAGAGTGTTGGCACAGGCTCCGACGCTGGCACAAGTGCTGGCGGAGTGTTGGGCAACAATTCTAGGATGTTAGGCCCCAATTAGCAGTTGTCTAGTGTCTACAAGGAACAGCGAGTAAGCGTGCTAAGCAGTGAAGGCAGTGCCCTAGGCTTTGCCAAAGAGAGGGATTACAACACTTTTCAGCTAGGTAAGACAAATATACTCACCCCCTTTATTTATCTTTTACCTTGATATTCCCTTGACATTTTCTTGATACTAGCTCTTATCTTTGTTGTCACCCAATCAGATAAAGGTGTGACGAGAAGCTCCATTTAGGCTTCTCAGCCAATCAAAGTAGCTACTAACAATGACAGTTCGAAGGTACCTTCGATTTTCAATTCCATAGATTGTGATAGTAGTATCCTTGATATTGTCTCGTTTTTTCATATTCCTCTCGTTATTCTATGCCACCAGGCTAAAGAGGACAAGCCAGCGTGCTTCAACTTCTCTAAGGAGATTATTTTTTATAAGAATGTATTGGAGGCAAGATTGAGGTTTCCCATACCTAGGCCCATCTATCGTATTCTGGGTCACTTGTCGCTTGCCTTGGATAGGTTGACCCCAAATGGTTGGAGGGTAATTTTGGCATTCTTTTCACTATGGAGACTAGTTCATGGCAAAAGTGTTTCTCCTCCTTTCAAGGAGTTCTTGGCATCATATGTGCTCTTGGACAATCCTACACCCCATCAGGGATAGTACCGCTTTTCTCTAAGGTCAGGAAAGTTGATCATTGGACCACCTTTAAATTGCCACAATTAAAAGTCTAGGTTTTTCTTCGTTGATGGAGAGTGGGCTACTGAAGAGGAATGTGACTTGGTGCCCTTGAGGTGGAAGACCAAGCTAGGTATGAGTTTTCCCCTTATTCTCCTATCTAAATGTTATATTCCTCTTGCACTTGTAAGAGAGTAGGCTCCAGGCTATGAGAGATCATCCTACCAAGCAATTCCCAGCCCTTATATCTATGTCAGGTCATTCCAAAGCTTCTCTTATGTAGAAGAGAAAACTTAATTGATCCTTTCACTAAACTTGGTGACTAAATATTCTTCTTTTTATATCAGTTCCACATTTACTACTGTTGATAGAGTAATGGTGGAGGCTCTATATGCTTCTAGGGTAAAGTCTTCCCCGCTTCCCAAGAGGGCAAAGTCTGATGCCCTTGGTGCTTCTTGGTCGGTATTCGATGGCCATACTGCTCCCTAGGAGGTGGGATTTGGTGGTGCCCCCACTCTTTCTCAACATGTGGCCCCTTTGGTGCTAGGGCTAGCCCTAGTACTGCTTTAGGAGTTGGGACTCCTATGCGGTCCTCAACGATGACTGGAGGTCCACGCATTTATCCTGCTTCCAGTAATGGCTCAGTGTCCAGGCAGCAGGACATGAATTTGGCCAAAGAGCAGCTTTGGAAATTTGTGATAGCTGCGGATTTCAGGCAGGTCGGCTCTTGAGGTCCGAAGGGCATTATAGATACTACGATGGAGGGATTCACTATGATATACTTTCCTTTAATTCAACCTTGATTTTTGCACTTGCCCCCTTTTTATTGTAAACCCCACACTTTTATCTTTATATATGTATGTAGGTTTATATGGCAAGTTATTAATTCTTTTGAAATATTAATATGGAAAAAATTGGGAAATAGTAGTTAAAACTTAATTTAACTTGCAAATATATGAAATCGTTGTAATAAAACTTTTGCTAACTAGGTTTGATGTACAAAAGCTTGCTGAAGAAGCTTGGGTTGGAATTGGAAAGGTTTGGAATGGATTGGAAATGAAAAAGGGAGATTATGTAGAAAAATAGACAAAACCTTTCAGAAGATCGATGAAAAACCTTCCGGAAGGTTAAGGTAAAAGACATAACCAGTAAGCAAAACCTTCCAGAAGGTCTCTAAAAAAGTTGGCCTAATAGGCAAACCTTCCGAAGGGTTAAGGAAGATGATTGTCCAGTAGACAAAACCTTCCGGAAGGTCAATGACAACCTTCTGAAAGGTTAATGAAAATGGTTTGTCAAATAGGCAAAGCTTCCGGAAGGTCGACGAACAACCTTTCGGAAGATCTTCAAAAAAATCTAAAAATTTTAAGTCGCGAATAGCCGGCTTTCCTTTCACTATAAATACTTAAGGACAACCCCTTTAGCCCCATTTCAACACTCAAAACCCTAGGAGACCTTAGAGAGGAGTAAAGGAAGAGAAAAACACAAGATCAAAGGGGATTTCAACTTCAAGAAGATCAAAACCTAGTCCTTTCAAGAACATCAAGGTAAGGGGTTTTCTTTCATTCTTGTCCATTGATGTTGGGGCTAATATATATGTACTCTTTGACTCTAAATCTTATATATTTGCTATGAAATCATCTTTTCTTGGTCTTCTTGCAAAGAATACATGTTTTGAACAAAATTAGGGTTGAATACCCATGAAATCTTTTTTTTTTTTGCTTTAAAACCCTAGTTTTTGGAGAATGATGGATTTTCTTCTTAAACTCTTCCTTTATTATTGATTTCAAAACTATAGTGCTTTGTGTTGAGTAATAAAATAATATTGTTGTGATCTCTTGTATTTTCCTTAATTGGTTTTGAAATTATCACATGATAAATTTTGAGATTTTTGAGATATGCTTGTAAATTGAAAATTTGTGTTTGGTATTGTATCTCTCATGAGTGTGGGAGGACCATGGGTGGCCTTTGACGAGATATCGTAGAGTGGGTAGACGTACTCATACTCCGTGTGGGTTTGAACTTTTTCTACTACTCGTAGTGGGTTAGTGCTTTGATAAGACTAAACCTCTATTGCACACGGGTATCGGGGCCGAGGGTTAGTATACTAATGTTTGGGTTGGATACATCACTGCCATTGGTATGGTATACGCATTTCCTAAAGGTTGGATATCTTTGAGAAGATTTGGGTGTGTGTGTGTGGGCTAGATGTTACTCAATGCGTTGATTCATGTGGATGTCTTACATCATGGTTGAGATACATGTATATATTATTGTGAAATGTTGAAGTTATGAGTTATTGTTTATTCTACTAGAAATAGTTTCTACAAGAATTTTGGAAAGTATGGGATTCCGCAAGAACTTGGGAGAAACGGTTTATGGTGGAATGGATTATTAGTCGTATATTGGTTTCACTCATGCATTAAATTATTACGGTTGCTTACACTTGAGATCTATTTAAATGTCTCAGTTTTCTTTTAAAATTCATATATTATATTTGTGAAAGGTGACCGACCATTTTATATACTTTCTAAACCTTGTTTGAGTTTTGGAGGAATGTTGCTACAGAGCTTAGTGTTCACCCCCCCCCAAACTACATTTTTCAGATTATGTACTGGAAGAGGATTTGGGAATTGAGGAACTGGCACACTAGAAGATTCCTATAGACGGGCATGTTGATCCAGATGTGGACGCTTAGAACAACATTACTTTTTATTCTAGGAAATGTACTTTGGAAAATATTGTGAAGTTTAGAATCTTTTGTAATTCCGCTGCGAGTTTATGTTTAATTCTTTTGGGATGTAATTATCTTACTTTGAGATCATATTCTTTTGGGGATATATTCGTCATGTTTTGGCGTATTCTTTTGGGAACGAGATTGTAAAGATTATCTTTGATGTATGAAATTTCTTTATGGATGAATTATTTAGTTGCTCTCATGATGTGAATGGTTTTTAGTTTGTAATGCCGTCCAGAGTGGGTTTTGGGGCGTTACAAAGTTTTGGTATCAGAGCCTAGGCTTTAGGTCTTACATGAGAGCTGTAGGTTATGGATTACAACTAGAGATGTAGGATTAGGTTGAAGAAAATTGTTGATTTAAAACTTTAATACAAGCCTTATGCTTAGATCAAGATATCCTAATTACGTCTTGTACATCAATAAAACTAAATTATGAATTGATGTGCAGGATGGACGGTAGGCGTGGACGTGGATGAGGTCATGGTGGCCAAGCAAACCCACCACCACCACCACCTTTCGATGCCATGAATGGCATCTACCAATGCTTAAGGGAGCTTACCACTCTGGTACAAAACCAGAATGGAAACAACAACAACCACAATGGAGGAGCTCATCCACTAGCCTAAGTATCGGGCAACAAGGATGAGAATCGGAGAATGGTCGTTCTTTGAGAATTCTTGCGGCAACACCCACCTTCTTTCCAAGGAAGCTCGAATCCCTTGGATGCGGATAGATGGATTCGTCGAGTGAAGAAGATTGGTGACAGCAGGATGTGGCCGATGACCTTAGGGTCGGCTTGGCAACATATCTATTGGAGGAAGAGGCCGACCATTGGTGGAATTCCGTAAAGAGAAGGAGGAACACTGATGCACTCATTTGGGAGGAGTTTGACCAAATCTTCCTAGACAAGTATTTTTTGGAATCAATTAGAAACAGAATGAAGGCAGATTTTCTTGCTCTATGACAGGGTTGTATGATGGTGGCCGAGTACGAGAGGAGGCTTGACGAGCTATCCCATTATGCTATGGAGTTTATATCTACTGAGGCCAGTAGGGCCAAGCGCTTTGAACAGGGATTAAGGCCTGTTATTTGGGAGAAGTTGGTGGCCCTCAAGATCAAGGAGTATGGGGATATGGTTGACAGAGCTGCACTAGTGGAGAGAGACACCGAGGACACTTAGAGGCGACAGAGCTTCTCGAGGGGAGGTCCGATCAGGTGCGATGCTAGCAGCAGTGGAGGGCAGAGAGCGGCACCATACCGTTGCCCAGATCAGGCGGGTGGACAGAGACTTCAGACAGTTCGAGGAGCTGGAGGCGTACCAGAGAGAACAGGCATGGACCCACGCCACAGCTTTGCATGTGAAAATTTTGGGCACTTCAAAAATCAATGTCCATCCTTTCCACCGAGGACCAATCAAGCAACTAGGTAGGCGAATGCAAACAAGCCACCACTACCGAAGCCATTACATCAAAGGCCGTTAGGAGCTACAGCCCCGACGGCGCTCATCCAGGAAGAGTGTTTGCTTTGACTCAACCGGAGGTAGATGCTTCCAATGCCGTTATAGAAGGTATTGTTCTTCTCTACAATTATTGGGCCCG